TTTTGGCCCAAATTTTCAGGGGAAAAAAAATGGTCTTAATTCCGTTATTTTTTTATATTTAGATACTTGTTTTTGTATTATAAAGGAATTTTAGCATTTTATTTTTGAAGATCTTACGGTACAAGAAACTTTATGTAACAAATACAAAGCACAAGACCAGATACAAGGTATTTCAAGTGCTACCCATTGATAATGCATGTCCTTATTTTTCCCTCAAAAACTTGGGCAAAAAAGTGCACGTTATTCATGGCAATATACAGTATTCTCATGCCTGGTCTGAGCCCTAGTCTCTGGCCAATACCATTATAGCTCTGGTATTTCCTAGTCATCAGACTTGGCTTGTTTTCAGCGACTTTTTTCAATACAATTGATACAGATAAGAGCTTTGAGAGTGAGGTACTTGTGATTCTGTGTGTAGGGCACAGAGAGTGGAGAGAATGTTAGCCATTGTCTTTGTGAGGAGAATGGAAGTGGGTTGTTTGTCTACAGGCATAGAGGGACCAGTTTTTCCCAGGGGAGCTCGGACAAATGCCGTGCGTGAATGCAGGGGAGGGGTCAGGGCAGCAGTATTGTGTTCTGACTGCCGCAGGAAATGGGGACTGGAGCGTGCCCTTCGGCGGGCCTGCCTTGCCGCGTTCAGGCCCCCGGTATTAGCACGTTTCCTGGGGTTATTGAAGTAGGCAGTTTCCTACTGACCTTTTCATCAAATTTGCAGGCTTCCATTCACTTGGGCGAGTCCACTTGGGCTATTCTGGGAAGACTCCCAGCTTTGAAACATCAGATGGCTGCTCCTGAACGTCTGCTTTCATACCAGGCTCAGACGTGGATGTTCCGCTAGAGGGCCGTCCAAGAGAGTCAGGGAGGCAAGAATGGACTCTTCTGACAACCAGGCAGAACACTGCTCGCTGGGTCCACTGGTCTCTAGCAAAGCTGCAGACGTCAAGCAGTTCCCATCTGGGGTGGCCTGGGTCTTTGTTTGTTGTTCTTTTAAACTAACATTTTTTTAAGGTAGTAATACCTATATATGGTGCAACAAAAAAGGTACAAAAGGGCCCTGGCCAGTGTGGCTCCATGGGCTGAGTGCCGCCTGTGAACTGAAGGGTTGCTGGTTTGGGTTCCCAGTCAGGGCACGCACCTGGGTTGCAGGCTGGGTTCCTCGTTGGGGGTGTGCAGGAGTCAGCAGATCGATGTATCTGTTGTACATTGATGTTTCTCTCCCTCTCTTTCTCCCTCTCCCATCTCTGAAAACAAATAGATAAAATCTTTAAAGAAGAAGATTAAGAAAGGCCTCAGGCAGGTTTCAGGTGCCTTATTTAAAATAAAAAAAAGTACGAAAGGTACACAGTAAAAAGTAAGCTTCCTCTTCAACTTGACTCTCAGTCACTCAGTTCTCCCCAGAAGCAGGCACTGTTTCCGGTTTCTTTTATGTCCTTCCATAAATAGTCTCTGCCTCTGTGACTGGGTGTTTACTGAAAGTTTTATCCATGAGGATGTCTTCATGAGCAAGGCAGGTCATTGAAGCAGTGATGTGAGGTTGATTTATTGCCTAAACACCTTAATTACCATAGAAACATGCACAAATATTAAATAAAATATTCTTGCCCCGGCTGGTGTGGCCCAGTGGATTGAGCACCAGCCTGCGAACCATAGGGCTGCCAGTTCGATTTCCGGGCAGGGCACATGCATTCTCTCCTCTCCCTCCTTTCCCCTCTCTCTGAAAATGAACAAATACAATCTTTTAAATAAAATATTCTTTGTCCATCAGAAATAGCTGAATCAACCACCTCCTAATTCTAGGCCAGGTTTTCAGAGATTTCATCTTAGGCAGTAGAGGTCTCTCTCTTGTTAAGTAGTGTGTAATTTAGGGGTTTTTGCTGACTTATTCTGAAACGGAAGCTGTGAACGAGGACTTACACGCAAATCCCAGTCCTGCCACTTAAAAGAGCTAGACTTTGGGCAGGTTACTAATAGGAGCCTCTTTTTCCCACTCTGTAAAATGGGTTTAATAATACCTGTATGAGGTGTTGCGAGCACTGAAAAAGACTGACACGTAATTCAAAGCACCTAGTTCAAGGGCACAGGGGCGTCACTCAGACGGTGGATGCTGTAATCCCTGGCGGCTGCCCACGGCACCTGTTGCACATGTCCCTGCTGAGCAAATGAGTAGTGAAGCTTGCCAGGGCGTTCACCCTCTCCCGGAACTTCCAACCTTCTGATCAGGTTAGGTAGGAGGAGCTTTATGGCTCCAGGGTCTAGTGACTCTGCTTGCCAGTTTTTATTTACAGGGCTGGGCTTAGGAAAGCAAGGCTACGGGGCGGGGGTGGGGGTGCACTCTAGCATCTCAGCTGGCTCTTATATTCACTTTACTCACTGGGGTTGCCTCTGAGGCTCTTCCTCTATGAGTGGTTCTCAAATTTGGGGGGCTCAACACCCGTTTACACATGTAAACATTTTTCAGGACCCCAAAAACTTCCATTTATATGGATGTCACATAATTCACCATATCAGAAATTAAAACAAAAGCTTAGCATATAATAAACCCAAAACAGGTTAACAAAACAAACATTTTTGTAGAAAATAACTATTTTTTCCAAAATAAAAGAATGTAGGGAGAAAAGTGACTGTGCTACACTGTTGCAAAATTTCTTCATGTCTGACCAATGGATTGCTAGCTTCCTCATTCAATCTGCCTCAAGATGCTGTTTTAGGCGAAGCACAGGAAGATAGGTCAGCGTCACACAGACCGGTGGACGGGAAAGAGAGACCCTCATCGAGGGCTGGGAGAATCTAAGGGACACCCCAGGGGTCCTCGGTCCACACTGCTCGGAGTCTGGTTTATCCCTTGGTGTCGACTTTAAGCACCTTGAAGGCACGTAATGTTTCTTTATTCGGGGGGCCACTGAATCCTAGTTCCTGACTTTCCCTACAGTTTTCATTTGCACAGTGCGATAATGTTTTTGACAGATTCACTGATAGAGGGAGCTATTGGCCAATACTAGATCACAAATACAATACCAAGATGAAGGATTTTTCTCTTTTCACAGATGATAAAACGGACAGAACTGCTGTCTGAAAGGTCGCTTCCCTGTGCTCCCTGGCATCTGCTTCTCAAAAAGGCTGCCAGGGAGGCAAGACAAAAATTAGACTTAATGCGATTGACCTAAAATAAAATATCTGCATTGATTTAGGAAACAGGGGAAAGTTAACAACAGTCAAAAAATGAAAGCAACACAAATATCCACTGGTAGATGAGTGGAGAAACAAAATATGGTATAAACATCAAGTGGAATATTATTCAGCCTTGTGACATGTGCTACAACACGGATGAAACTTCAGGACATTATGCTCAGTGTATTAGGCCAGACACAAAAAGACACATGCCATATGATTCTACTTATATCACGCATCTAGAGCAGTCAAACACAGAGACGAAGGAGGGCTGGTGGGTGCCAGGGCTGGGGGAGGGGAAATGGGGAGTTGGTGAGCAGGTATGAAAAGTTCTACAGATCGTGTGCACAACAATGTGAATATACTTAACACTACTGAACTGTACACTTAAAATAGTTAAGATGGTAAATTTTAGGTTACATATATTTGACCATAATTAAAAATAAATTTAAAAAAAAAAGAAATGGGAAGAAAGTAGGAGCAAGTTTCTTCTCTAATTTAGTTCCGGCTGACCTTGCCCCTTTACTCTTCCATTCAGTCATACAAGTGTTCATTCTGTGTATAAAGTGCCCCAGCGGGGCACAGGTCAGTGAAATGGTATCTGTTCAGGAGTTTGCCCTCTGTTAGGGGGCTGGTTAAGATACACACCCAAACAAGTCCAAAGCTACAAAAGATGCACTAACAAAATGAAACCAGCCTTGGAGAAGGAGGCGCTGGGACTGCAATTTAAGGACAATGGAACTTCTGCTGAGGCTGAGTTATTAGCAAACAGTATGAGCAGAAAGATGATCAACTGGTTTCCTACCTTGTTGGTCAGGTCAAGGCTTGGAGTCATGTTTGAAGAGTTGGCTGATGTTAAAGATCGTCGGTCCAATTTCACATTTAATTCAAGAATCCATTCTACCTGATGCAGAACGAAATCAGGAAGCAATGTGAGGGGAGGAAGTGTGACTATTGCAGGGGAGCATTGGATTTGGTTTATAGATCTGCTTTCCAGCTTCCTTCTGCCTGTGAGCTTTATCAAGCTCCTTCACCTCTGAGAGTTGGCTTACTCCTCCATTCCAAAGTTATCTTTGAGGCTGCTGTATGCTGCACTTAGCATATGCGAGAATTCTTGGCAAGCATTAGAAACTCCACGTGCACCTCCTCATTATTCTGGCTAATTCCTACACGGTTTTCCGGGCTCAGCTCAGGACTGGCCAGGGTGGAAAGCCCAACATTATTGCTGCCCCTTCACAGGGCATTGAGTGGCGCAGGGCAAGCCCGTCTCCTCACCAGCCTGGGAGCTCCCGGAGGGGCTTCTGATGGACCCCTGTGACCTGAGGACCTGCCACAGAGACTGGCCATAGCGCGGTAGTTAAGAGCGCTGGCTTTGAATATCCATCCCACAGTTAGACGTGGAATCCTGGCTCTGCCACTCACTACCTTTGTGGCTTTGGTCAAGATCCTTAACTTCTTCCCCGGGCTTTATTTTCTTCAACTGCAAAGTGGGGATAATAGTTAAAACTACCTCTTAGGCTGTAGTGAGGTTTCCAAACTTAAAAATTCAGGAATTTACAATGGTAACTTATCATTGTTAAGACCTGTTGCATACAAAGAAGATAACGCTGTAAATAACTACAATGTTTTCCTAAAAGGGCCACGTTCTTATCAGAAAACTTTGCTGAACCCCTGGTGACTTGATCTCTAGCGCTGGGGTTCCAATGAGTGACGTCTCTCGCAGGAGCAGTAGCCCCGAGATCCGCCAGGTGAGGGCAGAGCTCTGCCTCTCGGCCCTTGGGGGGGCGGAGCCGGCGCGGGGTCACGTGGGGGCGCGGGAGGCGGGTCCTTGCGCGCGCTGGTCACGCGGAGCGGTGTTGACACTTCCGGGTGGGACCGAAGTGCGGCGGTGGGTCAGGGGGCTGGTAGCCATGGCGTACAACGGCCTCACGGTGCCTCTGATCGTGATGAGCGTGTTCTGGAGCTTCGTCGGCCTCCTGGTCCCCTGGTTCATACCCAAGGGTCCCAACCGGGGGTAAGTGCGCCAGGGCCGCCTGCGGAGCGACGCACGACGAGGAGCAGCCGGGCCGGGAGCGGGAGAGGGAGGGGGAGGGGGCGACCCGCACCGCGGAGACCCTGTGGGGTGGCTCCGACCCCCGTGCAGCCCCCGATTTCCTAAACGCAGCAACCTGGGTGACTCCTGGCCGCAGCGTGAGGAGGGTGACCTCCAGCGGACTATTCTTGGGAAGGAGCTTTAGGGGGATATATTTTTTATCAGGTCCTGTGTGGGGACGATGTAGTCGGAAATGGGTTTCTACCAACCCAAGAAGAAGTAGAGGTTCGGCCTTAGGCGACTTTAGCCTTGCTCTCCACCCAAATGAGGCCACATTTGCCTAAAGGGACGGATCAGATAAATAAAAGAGAATTTGCCCTCTGCACTTCATAAGTTGTCGCAGTTGCACAGGACAGGCTTATGCAGCGACGTCCAACCCAGGCCTTGCATCTCGTGGCCGCCGGGAGGTAGTTGGCACGCGATCTGCAGGGAGCTTATTACTAAAGAGCAGGAGGTGTTGTTTAGAAACCCCTGCGTCACACGGCTTGGAGGGCGCTGCGGCCCTTGTGTGTGACTGTAGCGAGTTCTTAGAAGATCGGTTAAGAAAGACACTTTTTCCCATGTTAAATGGAGCATAATCTGTTTTGTAAGTGAACTTTTATAGCTATCCTCAAGGGAGCTTTAGCACTTCTTTTCTTTCTTTCCTTTTTTTATTTTTATTTTTGCCTTTTAGTTCCTCTTTTGGCGTTTAGTCATTTTTTCCTCAGGGCAAGATCATGTGGGGTGAAACTTAGCCCGAAGTCACAGTTTGTCAGAAACACCCTTTTTTATTCTTTGCAATTAGTTGGTGGCCTCACAGTGATTGGCAGGCAGAGTAGACATTCAATAAACATCTGTTGAGTGGATAATTCTATTGCTTTATTAAAAGAAAGAAAATACTGTTACTTCCTGAACCCCTTTTGCTCTCTGAAATAAATTTTATTAGTCCTGTTATTTCCAACTAGTTTGAAAATAAAATATAATTTGTTTAAGAAGGAAAAATGGTTCATGAATTTCTGTCACTTGGTAGCATTAAGCCCCCCTTACCTTCCTCCATCCCATAAATCACCAGTCATGTGGGTCATCTTTCCAGCCTCTGATAGAGGAAATAGAGAGTCAAATTTCAGGGGTTGTTAGAACAATTTATATTAACCAAATGTAATTTCTTACACTTGCTCCTCCTGGAGTGAGAGAACAATGAAGTACTTCTTTGCTGTGTTTCTGTTTTCAACTGTTTTATTACATTACTGTCCACCTTTCCAGCCTTCATACTCAGAAAAAGCATTTGATTAAAGTGCTGGTAGCACCGGCCCTTCCTTTCTTAAAGGCCCCGCCTGCCCAGCCTTGGGTCTGGGGGCCCCCGGCCAGGGTAAGGAAGCGCCTCCTCTGCTCGGTGTCCGGCCCCAGTGTTGTGATTCAGGTTTGACCTGCCAGCGGTACATTCTCCAGGCCTAAGTCACAGCCTCCTCCCCAGTCCTTGTATTTCCTGCTCTTGGCAGGATCGAGCAGGTCTTAACACACAGTGTCTCCTAGGAGGTACCGTATTACAGTGTGAGAAACACTGCCCCTAGCTGGCTGATCCCTGTGACCTTGGACAGTTCAGTTAACTTTTCCACATTCTCCTTTCTCCACTGGAAAATGGAAACATTAATACCGAATTAGTACTGGTTTTTCTTTACCTCCCGAAGAGACTGCAAAATAATTAAAAAAAAAAAATGCATGGAGGAGTTACATTACTTCAAGGCCTATTTTGAATTTTCAAAACAGGAGAACCTTTTTGACTGGAAGGATTAAAATACCTTCACGGAGGAGATAGTAAAGCGCCTTCATGACAGCGCTGCAGGTGAAGCGGGGGGAGGACTTCGATGTTCCTTCCTCTTCCCTCCGAGAGCCCTGCACACCCAAGGGCAAGACATTGAGTGGCGGGGTTGTTGGGAGCTGCTGAGGCCCAGGGAAAGGAAAGGCAGACGGGAACACTTCTGAGCCTTTGTGTAGCCCAAAGCCCCTTCCTCTCTCGTTCTTTCCTATGGCAGGAAATGAGTGGGGGAAAATCAAGTCTGCTGGAGTCAGCTTTCCTGGCCATTCCTTGTTTTCTTTGTTCTTTCTTTCCTTCTTTCTTTCCTTCTTTCTTCCTTCCTTCCTTCCTTCCTTCCTTCCTTTCTTTCTTTCTTTCTTTTCTTTCTTTCTTTCTTTTTTTTTTGTGATTTCCCTTATTTCTCTTTAGGAACCCACACATCTCTCAAAGCTCAGGTTTTCCCCAGTGGCTCTCTTGGCAGTAGACTGGGGGAGGGGATAGGAGAGGCGTAGGGATTGGTGGGCCAGGCGTCGGGAGCTCATTTATTTCAAACAGAACATTTTCAGACATAGAGAAGTACGGAGGGCGGTACTGCTGCTGTACACCACCACGCAGCTCCAGCTGTCGTCACGTATTTGTATTTGCTTTACCTCTGAATACATGAGTATGTGTGTACACGCATCTCATCTCACACACCCCTGAGCCCCCTTATCCTCCTCCCTGCTTTCTTTTTCTCCGTCTGCACTGACTGACTCTGGCATACGGACAGACGGACAGATACATTGAGCCACAGGCCTTGTCTGTTTATTGTTCTTGTTTGTCGTCTGTCTTTGCCCGCTGCCACGTATACTTCACCGGGACAGGGGTTTTCATTGGTTTCCTTTACTCTTGTGTCCCCAGAGCCTGGGACACACGGGACACACTGGACAGTTAATGAACATCTGAATGGACATCATTAACTGGACAGTTAATGAACATAATGAATGAATGAATGGATGGATGTGCCAGTATCTTAACCATAGGAAATGCACACACACAGAACTTCTAAAGGATGAGTTAAAAATAGAATCAGGCGTTCTGACATTTGCTTAGGGCATGGAGACCTCTCTGTGGACCCCACTCTTAGGGATGGCGCGGGGCGTCGAGAGCTGGTAGGCTGCAGGGTGCATGTGATGAAAGAACATTTTAGAAGGGTTGACTCGGGTCATGGTGGGTAGAATGAAAGGGAAGGAAGGGCGTTTTGACTCTGCTGGCAGCTGGCCAAGCGATCCTGACAAATTTTGGCGCTAATGGTGGGGAGAGAAGGGAAGAAGTCCAAGTGGGAGGGTGCGTGAAGGACTGAACCACAGCATTAGGTGACTCAGGGTACAGAGGAGGCGTGAGCAAAACGGTGACTGATTTGAGGGTGGCTTGGGTGGGTGGAGTGGCAGAGCTGCCTCTGGGGAGCGGGAGATCCCGAGGGGAGCCTTTGGAAGGAGAAATGGGAAGAGAGTAGTAGGAAACCAGTTAGAAGTGTCGGCATTGACTGGGTCCAAGACCGAGGCTTAACTGTTTCTCAGACTGGAGTGGAGGTGGGGAGAGGTCAACACTAGAGGGTCTCATTTTTACAAGTGTTGTGTGATTTTGTGGTGGAGAACGCTACCAAATGGGATAGTTACTTGGATGTCAAACTAATGGTCACGACAGCCTTTGTTCAGTTTCAGATGGCTTTGGGTTAGAGAGCTGAGCTGACGTAAATAACTGCTTACCCCTTTAAATACAAATGGATGTTCAAGTATTTACTTAAACCTCTACCAAATTACCACAGGGTACACTGCAGCCTGAGGGTGTTGGAACAGATGGCAGGTGCATTTTCTGGGTGCACAGTCCCTGCTGGTTCGATAGCTGGGGAAGGGACTGGGACCGGGACCATCCTGCAACGTTGGCAGAGTCTGCAAATTACCTGATTTTTTTCTTTTTTAGAGTTATCATCACCATGTTGGTGACCTGTTCAGTTTGCTGCTATCTCTTGTAAGTATGCTTCTCCTGTAAGTAGTTTTTTCTTAAAGTAATAAGCATTATTATTGGCATTTATAATGTGTGTGATAGCAAATGAAACCAGTGGAGTATGATTATTGGGACACTTCCCAGCTTTGTTTTGTCAAAGCTTGTTCCTCATGTAGCATCTAGAAATAGTGTCCGAAGCCTGAGAATAGCGCACTTTTCCTGTGTTCAGTATTTACCTAATTTTCTAATAACGTAATTAGTTACGTAATTAAATATAAGTATACTTACATAAGGACTGCACAGACAATCTTCTCCTCTGTCAACACAAGTACACTTTATCTGGCACAAGTTTAAAGCTCATAGTCGGCCCGAAATTGTCACTTTGTATTTCACTTGTGGTGCTTTGTATTTCACTGCTGTGAAGTATTTAGGCCTCCTCACGTCACTTAAATGAAGCTGTAAAGCCGTTCTTTATTATGACCTTTCTTCATCAGGTGACCAGAAGTTGAGTTAGAATTATAATCAAGTAGAAAAAGAACCATTTTTTTAATTAAACATTTTTTAACTTAAAAGTATAATAATTAGCATCTGTTTGCATAGATTGTGTCATTTACGTAAACTGCTGAGTGGAAACTGTTTTTGGGTACGGAAGGTGACCCCCCCCCCCCCGCGTCTGTTTTGGAGTGCTGGTCTCCGCCGGCGGGGGTCCGGGGTGTCGGCAGTGTAGCGGCAGAGCTGCACCTAGCAGCTTGAACGCTGCCTCCAGCTCCTGGCCGCTCACCCCGCTGCCTTGGGGAGCGGAATCAGCCCTGCTCCGGGAAAAGACCGAGTCGTACGGTCAGTGCTGGAGAAAGGAGCCACTTCAGAGTATTCCCAGGCCTTACGGTTTTTTTCCTTTTTAAATTGCGGTATATTTCACGTACCATAAAATACACCCTTCTAGGGGTTTTTTTTCAGGGTTTTGATTGAACCACTGACTGTCTTTTCTTGGAGGGAGCTTGCTAGCTTCCTGAGACCCCCTTATGAGCAGAGTGCCGGAGCTGGCCACACTAGCGGTCAGTGCGCCCCGGAGGCGGGAAGCCACGGTTCGGCCCCTGTGATGAGAGGCCACGGCTCTCTGTGACTCTGAATCTGAATTTCCTGTCCTCAGACTTTTCACTAAGGTGTTTTTATTTGTTTGTTTGTTTGTTTTTAGATCGTATTCATTTTCAGAGAGAGGGGAAGGGAGGGGGAAAGAGAGGGAGAGAAACATCGATGTGCAAGATAATCGCCTCTCGCGTGCCCCCAACTGGGGACCTGGCCCGCAACCCAGGCATGTGCCCTGCCTGGGAATTGAACGGGCAACCTTTCAGTCTTCAGGCTGGCGCTCAATCCACTGAGCCACAGCGGCCAGGGCTCACTGAGGCCTTTTAAAAAAAAATGTGGGAATGAGCCAATTCCAGTTCTTCAAACTGGAGGCAGAAATCAAAATCCAACCCCAAGAGTTATCACCGTGGATTTTGACTCTGTGGTTTGTCCTCGGTCACCTGTTCAAGTGCGACTTGACGCGTGTCAAGCCGAGTCGTAGTGGGCTCTGCGAACGTTGCTCCCTGGTGGTGGTGTTGGCCCGCCTCAGCAGCCGTGCTCCAAACACGAGACGCTGGTTGGCTGGGTTAGCCTTTTCTTCTGCCGGGAGAGGTAAAGAGGCTTTTGGGGGTGATAGCTCAGCCTCCAGAAGGGAAGTCTGTGAGGTAGCAGGTGGAGGGAACTAGTGAGGGATCATTCTTACACCAGCTGTGTTCAGCTTTGAAGAGTCAATGACAGGAAGTACGTGCATCAGCAGGAATCCATCGTTTTGGGGGGGGCAACCGAGTCCCGGGCCACAGTCCTGCTGACTCTTACAGCCAGCCCAACTCGGGGGCTCTTGCTCAGTCGGGAGCCAGGGAGTAGCCCCGCCACAGAAACGGCCTTCGTTTTTATTTCTCTGAAGACCTCTGCCGTCTGAGCAGTAAGGTTGGTGGCAGGGTCTTACAAAAAGAAAAAAAAAGGATCACGCAGAGGATTGACTTCACATTAAGGTAAGATGGGACAAAAATGTTTTCTGACTTTCTCTTTTTCCACCTTTGAAATTTAGTTCATTTTCATGATACCCTCTATAGAACAACAAAACGTTTCCAATCAGTCTCATACCTCTTACTTTCACTTTCAATGTAAAACGAATAAGTGGACTTGGTTGGAAATTACATCGCTTTGAGTCTTTGTGACTCAGTTGGGCACTGTCCATGAGTCCTTACCCCTTGCTGTCGAGATCTGAGACTGTTTTTTCCCGTGTGCCAGCGTGCTCGTGCCACTGGTGTTGCGGGTGGATTGGCGCGCTCGTCGGTGTGTTTGTAAAGGTAGTGCACGGAGTTCCAGCGCAGCGCTCCTGGAGGCCGTGTATGGGGAGATGAGCTGGATGGGACAGACTTTTTGAAAATATTTTTTCTTTTCCTTGAAACCTGATTATATATCATACTTAGAAAGTTATCTGTCGGAAACATATGGGTGGAATTCAAGCTCTAAATATTTTACATACCAGATTCCACAAAGGGGTGGGATTCTATAATAAGTTAAATTGGAAAGAGAAAACATCACTGTTGGTAGTAAGTATATGAATATTTTCTTGAAAATGCCCCTTTTGAAGGAGGACACACTCAAAGAAACTGGATTTCCTAAACAAAATCATGTTTTGAAATACATTCATGGAGCCTTTTAAAAAAAAAAAATTTATTTATTTTTTAGAAGGGAAGGGAGGGAGAAGGAGAGGGAAATAACCATCAGTGCGAGAGAGAGACATCAACTGGTTGCCCTTCATTCGCACCCCAACTGGGCACTGAACCTGCAACCCAGGCATGTGCCCTGACCAGGAATCAAACTGGCGACCTCACCCGCTTGCAGAACAATGCCCAGCCAACTAAGCCACACTCTCCAGGGTACATTCATGGACTTTTAAATTGCCTTCTGTTTGTGGCTGGTTTTGTTTTGTTTTTTTCTGTTTTCAGTTTGTTCTAACTGAAGGTCAGATTCTGTGGGGCTTGACACGTTTGAGCTCTGAAGAAGCCAGGATCTCTGCCAGTGTGACCAGTTTGTGTTAATAGTTCAGCAGAGCAAAGTCAATTTCAAAACAAAAATTCACTGGGAGACAGGCTAAGATTGGCATGCCACTGAAACTTCTAAGAGATGTCCGGTGAGAAACTGGATGCCTACGGAGCGATCTCGGAGGCCAGGAGATTGCACTTTCCTAAGGCGTTGATTGTCTACTGCCGGCACCTGGTGGGCAGAGGCCGGGGTGCTGCCGTGTGTCCTGCACTGGACGGATCAGTCCCTCCTCCCAGCGGAGCACTCTCCAGCCCCAAATGCCGCTGAGAAACCTGCCCTACGGGAAAGGATGTAGAGAGAAGAGGGGACAGGACCAGAGCTGATGAGCGCCAGCATTTAGTTGTACAGAGGAGGAAGGGCCAGGAAAGGGCGCCCTTGAACCTTCGCAGTTGAATTAGGGGGCGACTGGAACAGATGAAGGAATCAGGGCCGTACAGTCAACAAGCATGCACCCCGCAGGGGAAGCTGGCGCTCCCCAGGAGTGGGAGGGGACTGGGGGCAGGTGGCACGGTGCGGGGCGGGGGCAGGCGGGGCGCAAAGAAGTAGTCCTCCCATTTGCGAAGCCTGAGTTACCGGGGGCGGGTGAGTGAGCGACAGGCCTTTGAGCAAGTTCTAGAGAACCCGGCAGCCGGGCTGGAGGACGGGGAAGGGCGGGATGTTGGGTCAAGTGGTGAGATGAGCAGCGCAGTCTGGGCAGGAATTTGGATCATGGTCGATGGTCCTGGGAGATCTGGGAACACTGTTTTCTGGAAAACTTGAGGTAGACAAAAACGTGAGATGTGTTGAGCTGAGTGCTTATGGTTCCTGTCCTGAGGCTTAGCACAGCGGCGGGGCAGCCGGAGGCTCTAGCCGCTGGGCATGCTGCCTCCCCGGCCGCCGGCACTAGAATGGTGGGGCCTGGCTTCGTTTCGTTTTAGTAGTTTTGTTTCCCAGGACAACTGCACCATTGATTGAAGACTTTTCCGTTCTCCATTAAGTGGCTTTGGCATCTTTGTTCAGAATGACTTGACCGCATATGAGTGAGTCTGTTTGCAGACTCTGTCTTCTGTTCATTGATCTCTTTGTCTAGCCTTAAGACAATACCATACTCTCTTGGATATTGTAGCTTTGTATTGAAATCAGGAAGTCTAAGTTCCTTTGTGTTTGTACTTCAGGATTATTTGGCTCTTTTAAAATAGCTGTGTAAATTTTAGAATCATCTTGTCAGTTTTAACCAGAAAAGCCTGTTGAGATTTTAACTAGGATTATGTTGAATCTATGGATCAATTTGGAGAGAACTGACATTTTATTTTTCTTAGGGGAGAAAGAGGGAGAGGAACATCGGTGTGCAAGAGAAACATCGCCCGGTTGCCTCTTGCAGGCCCCTAGCTGGGGACCTGGCCCACGACCCAGGCATGTGCCCTTACTGGGAATCGAACCCACAGCCTTTCAGTCTGCAGGCCAGTGCTCAGAGCACTGAGCCACACCAGCTAGGGCAGAACTGACATTTTAACAGTACTGTCTTCTGCTCATGAACATGGCATATCTCTATTTATTCAGGGTTTCTTTATTTCCTTTCTTCTACTTCGCATTTAACTTGCTCTTTTTCTAGCTTAAAATAGAAATTTAGATCATTCATTTTAAATCTTTGTTTTTTTAAATGTAAGAAATTAATGAACAAAAAGAAATTAAAATGAAATTCTCTCTGAGCATTGTTTTAGCTACAGCCTACAAATTTTGATGATGCTGTGTTTTCATATTTAGAAGCGTGGTGTTTAATTTCCAAATATTTGGAGCATTTCTAGATATCTTATCAGAAGGTACACTCTGTAAGATTCCACTCTCTGGAAAATTGGAACATACTCGTGGCTCAGCAAGTGGTTTATCTGATGGCTGTTTCATGTGCACTTGAAAAGAATGTATACTTT